ACGATTAAAGTATATAATAAATATGCAATACGTCTATTTATTTATATGCACACATACTATTTGATGTCAGTCTATTTTGATCATTGCTGAAGCTTCCTGTTACGACTGCTGACATGCGTCGGTGGTTGGATTCATATTCTCTGAATCTTAATTAAGTGACAGAAGCACCATGTTTAGCTGCATATTCATCCCTCACTGTGCATTGTGCTTGATTGAAGTAACTTCCTGTGTGCTCCTCTCCTCAACTTCCTGATTGCTCATACAGCTCGGAGAGTCGATGCCATGCAGCTGCTTCTCCTGAAAGAAAGCAACCTACAGCCAAAAGAAGCATTTTGTTTTTATTTCCGATGTCACTTCACCTCCAATTTTCAAAGATTTAATCTGGTTTATTTTGCTTAATCAAACTAAATTCACGTGGGGATCATTGTCAAATGAGGGACATTGGTATTTTTGGTCTATAATCAAAAATATTTTTACCAAAATTGAAATAAAAAATGTTGTGTCCAGACGAAGTAAAATAAAAGTTATTCAGTTATGAAGCATAATGCTTTTTTTTTTGCCGGCAGTTCATCGAGGACGACCTCACGACTGCACTTAAGGTGAACTGCAGCCAATTTCAATTGAATGGCCTTAACAGGATTTGACACAACCGTAAGAATCCACAAACTAAAATCAAAGAAATGAATAAAAGAAAATCAAAACTGTCCCTGAGCAGCAGACATCCACCCACAGACACTCTATCCTCAACTGTCTCTGCTTGTCTGTATCTGTTGATCACAGCTTTGTTTTGTGTGCAGTTTACCATCTTTTAAAAGGAGTCTTTAAATGACACATATTGGTTTCAGGGTAAAAAAAAACAAGAAGAAGAAGAAGCAAATAAATGAAAAGTAATTAAACACAGATCACAAAAATCATCATCTCGGTGAAATCTGTTGAGCTGAATACATCTGTTGACAATGTGACTGACATCTGTCGGCTCTAGACGCTGCACCACAGGCTCATTCCTGAGGTGACAACAACCTGCTCTCTTCTCCAGCTCAACACCGACGCAATAATAACCACAGATGTGTGTTAATTTTGGTAATTAACACATTAATTTTGTCTTTTTGTTTCCAGCACCACTGAATATTCTGTGATACAATGATCTGAAACTGTGACTTCAACCTTCCCCAGTTGTTAAATCAAATCATACGTTGACTCTCGTTCTCCCTGTTGCATGCAAAATGTAGGATTTAGATTTAATATGTATTTATATCGAGGCATCCTGCATTATTAATGAAGTGATGCTATTTTGGGCGACACAGGGTGAATGAATCAGCAGGACGACACCTGGCAGGACTCCAAAACGTTAGGATTAATTGCTGCAGTGTGGGTGATTCAGCACCTGCAGGTAACTCATCTACAGTTTTAGCACGCACCTGCAATAAGCAAGCGATTGGTTTCAGGCACATAATAACATGTTAGCCTGGTTTCATGTGTGCCACATAATGAGAAATTTAGTGGACCTGGTTTCCATAGTTTCTGCTGAGTATTAGCGAGATATTAAGTTTAGAGCATAAAGAGCTTTCGTCACAAGGTTGCCAGTTTAAATCCTTAAAAATAATCCTGGCTTTTGTATCATCTTTGACTACAAACACAAAGCAGCCAGAACGGTTGCCCTCAAGCACTCTTTTCTTTTTTAGTGCAGCATGGTGAAGGTTGATTATTGCAGAGCAATTGCAAAACGAAACTTTGCTCACGTCCTCCAGGCTCCAAAACTCCATCATGACACATTGCGGAAGATCTAAAATGGACCGAAATGACTAATACCAGATACACACATATATAATCTGTACATAAATGCATATTATCTGCTGCTACTGAAGCTCTTGGACTTTTTGAGATCGTTAGCAGGATATGTGCATTTGCCCAAATGTCACGACTCCCTTGCCTCATGCTCTGTCTCGGTGGTTCAAGCAAGCAGACAGTGAGCGCACCCAGATCTCCACAGAAAGCACCAATCACGAAACTCGTTTTCACCAAAATTGCTCTGCACTTTTTGATTGTTACTAACGTGCCCACTTCCTTGCCCCTCCTTCCACATAATAATCAAGTTCACAGAGTGACACCGAAAACACCCAACAAGAACCGGTAAGAAAACAACCTGTGTGCAGTGGGAGAAAATGCCACGTTAGGAGCACAAAGAACTCAAACATGCTCCGTGCAGTGTCATAAAAATAGAGCCCTGGGTGCCTCCAGAGATGTTTTGAAACATACCCCCAGGATGAATTAAATAGATGGTGAAGAATAGGAAGAACAGGAAGGAAGGCACCTTCCTCACACTCAACAATTCACAACTTAGAACCAAATGTGCCTCATCTGATTAGATGCCTGCGCTGCAGAAAACTAAAGTTAGAGTTATGCCCAAGTATTCATGAAATCATCTTCGGTTGTTTTCACACCTGAAAATCTCCCCTTGGACAGCAAGAAATCAAAAGTCCAATCCAAGGTTGGTTAAACATTCATTTTGTTTTCACTGTGACATCATTATGGTATTTCTACCAGCATCAACTCCAGGTGCAATTCTCAACACTATGAATGTGACAAATGAGTTTTGGGGGCGCTGTCATGTCGTCCATCTTTATATTCAGTTCAGTCTACAGGACGTGGGAGTGAAAACTCACACAGCATGCCGATGATTTCAGAAAGAACCTTTTTGCTGAACTTTGTAAATATGCAGAAAAAACTTAACTTAACAATATGCGATATTCAACTCGGGGTCACAGCACATTTACAATTTGTGCTTGGGAAGTGTACCATTGTGGTACATGCATCACAAGTCAGAGACCAAGAACAAAACCTCCTCCTCCCTCACCTTCCAATCCTCAGCTTCGTCTCCTCTGTTTCAATCCTGTGTAATCCTTCCACCGGGTCACCCTCTGCAGGCCACTCAATCACTCCTTCACCCAGCGTGTTCCCCATGACAAATAGACGTGTTCCTGCCGAGCTCTCCTTAAACAAATGAATGTGTTTTCTGTGGTGAAACCTCCACAGCCGACCTGCCTTTCTGCTGAACCAGGAAAACAACCTTGCTGTTTGTCACTTCCGAGGTCTATATCACACTCCTCTGGCGATAGGTATTTTTCAGGAAGACAGATTGATACATTAGTTGCCTTTTCTCTGCTCGCTGCACTACAAATAACCTGCTGGTATCTGTAGTATCATATTGTGCACTTGTTTCTGAGGATAAGCCAAAGGTAAGCACTGTTCCTCCTCACTTCTCTGAATGCACTGTCTTGTTTTATTTCCCTAATATCGATCTATTATTGACGAAAGCAACGAGATTTGGATTTCTGGCTCCCCCCTTCACCTCATCATGAACACCTTCCCACATGCAAAAATTCATAATCATAATTTATTCTCCAAAATGACCCATATGAGCTTCTCGCTGATCCAGCGACCCCATTATCGGGACTAAAATACAACAGCGGTATTTTCTTACAGGTGCAGGTGAATAAAACTCGACTAAAGTTGGAAAATAGATCTTATTCATAGGAGACCAAAGTTAGAAGTTGATAAAGTAGGAGAAGACCTACTGTTTTATCAAGTTGTGCCAGGGTTAGACACAATATCAGTCCGATTATAGCCCGACCCGAAAGATGTAGGGCGTCAGGTGGGTGATAGTCGACTGATGATTTCCTATATTATTATTTTCACTTCATCAACTTTAAAAGAGTATTATGTGTCAACTAGCATGAGAATTGTAGTAGATTTTAAGTTATTTAAGAACCCTAGTGAAAGGTTTAAGAGCCTATTTTCTGTTAAAAGTCTATATCAGAAAATATACAGACAAGTAAAAACACGACAGATTATTGATTGTGGTACATGGATCAATATGCATGAGGAGACCGTATCTGTATCTATATGAAACTCATGAGTAAAGCCACTACTGTCTGCTTTGTGTATTTTTCTCCATTCTGCACCAGGATTATCAAAGATTTGTCCCCAAACACAGAGAGAAATGCTTCAGTGGAACTTTTAAATTAGAATGCATCATTGCTCTTTCATGTATCAAATAGACCTTGAAATTGTATTTCCACTGGGTGATGTTATTGATAATATTAAACCTTTGATTGTGTTTAGGTGGGAAAGGAGACTGGTTTAATGTAGTAAAAAACAATCTCCATTATTGTGTCCTCTCAAGCTGTTTCTAAAAGGGCCATCTGTGTACCAGCACTATAAAGGTGTCTCCGGTTTATTCTCTCCGAGAGGCACGCGGATATTTTTATCTGTGAAATTTGTAAAGATGTGCAGCTTTGCTCCGCTCAGATCCCAAGACACTTAACCACATAAGAGTTTAAGAATTTCACACAGATTGATGTCGTTCCCGAGTTGTGTTTAGGTTAAAAATAAAAACGACGGGTTTGTCGATGAATGACGCCTTCTTGAAGAGGAAATTAACAATGAATCAGAGACATCAAAGCCTGTGGTTTCCATTAAGACAAACTTTAAATTCTGCAGCACCAGCAGCATGACTCGAATGTTGACCACTTTGACATTAACGTCCTTAAATAGACTAAAATGGATTTCTTTTAATGATCTATTAAAACATACATACTTGGACCTCAGGGGATGAACCCTGAATCTATTCTGTTGTGTCAGCATGAGGGTTAAACATAAGCAGAACATCACCTGACTTTTCCTCTAACTTTTTCATTTTGGTAAAATATTCAGGACAAATTATAATTGCAGAATTAATTTATTCCAGCGTAATCGCCATATTGTGAGGGTTTGATCAAGAAGGAGAAATTCTTCTGGATATGGTGAATTCACAAATTTGCTCTGTCAACAACACCTGATCTTCACAGTGTGAGGAGTTGTTGTCCAAAAGGAAAGATAATATGAATTGACCTCCTCTGTTGGAGGAAAAGTGTTTGACACAGCAGCAATCATTTGTGAAATAGACTCGGTACAGATTCATATGAGGAATACATGGTGTGAAGTTATTGTTCCGTTTGTTATAAAACTGAGTTTATTTGCTTTTTTTTACTGAATGAAATTGAGAACAATATTTAGATCAGTTATTTCCATCAACCAGTTTTGAATCTGTGCACATACAGAACACATACAGTGGCATCCTGACGACATGGGACTGTATTGATTCTACAGATTTGTCTAATGAGTGCAAACATGAAGAAACCTGCTTCATTTTCTTTTTATATCTGGCAGTCAACACCTCGTCGGCACAGAGCTGCCATCCTGCCACCACACAGCACAAAGACAAAACAGAGATGGCATCAAAAGCGTCGCTGTGAAAAAGCCCTGATGCTCCAGTGATTACACAGAGCGTCACAAGCAGTCGGTTGCATAATCATGTTCCCCTTTTGGGAAAAAAACTGTTGGTAGTTAAAGAACAAGCTGATTTTCTATTTCTTATTACTTATGTTTACCAGGGAAGTCAAAATAAAATCATGTAATTTTAGCAGAACATGAAATTAAACAGAACAAAGCACTAAAGACGTATATTTTCCTACATATAGATATATAGACTTTGGTTTCATCTTGATAAATATTATTGTGAAACTCATCTTTATCCGTTTTAAAAACTTCACGTCCACTTCACTCGTCACTTTCTCAGCAGCAGAGCAGCTGATAAATGGACGTGTCAAACAGCCACAGTATAACCAGAACTACCCGAGTGTTTTGTTGATGCCTGGCAGCGCCAAGGAAAGTCGCCATCGTCTCATAAATGAAGTTCTCCTTTTCGTTTTTTTAGCGGCAGTAATCTGTCTGGCTCTCGGCGTCTTCATCCCCGTCCGATAATGAGGCGCCTCCAACCTCGCCGAGGGCGTTTTTGTATGTGCTCTTACAAATTTGCACTTTCTTTTTTTTAAGTTAAACTTTAAACGTCGACACATCAGTGGAGCAACATACACATACGGCCACACGGCCACACGGCATTATCGTGCAGCTGTTCTAGTGTAAACAAACACATACAAACCATAAACAGGTTATTGTTGACCACTAACAACCCAAATACACCGGGACCACGATCATTGAGGTTCCTTGCAAATTTTCAGGTAAGCGAACTGATCGTAATTCATCACAGGGCTCTGAAGATGAAGGAGGATGTACATGCAGGATTGATAGACGTGTAGGAAACATGATACTCAGCAATTTCATCGTTTGAATAGACCAACATGGAGAATACACACTGCTGCATTCACTGTTGATTTATTTTTTGGACCAGGATGATCTGTCTTTGTTTCACTACATTCACCTGATGAAACCATGTTTAAACTCATTTGACCCAGATTTTGTGTGGGGGGGGGGGGAATCTCCACACAGTAAGAAAGAAGGAACCAAACGCAGATGAAAACAAAACCTCCTTTGCAGATGTAATTACAGAAACAACACAAATAAATGAGAAGGGACTCACGGATGCAGATGCTTCCACACAGGTGCACTAGAGTGTCTGCAGATAACATCCAGACATTATATGGAGAAGGTACGAGGAGGAGATCTGAGGGTTCATTGTTGGGGCACAGGTGGCAGCGGCTTCAGTCACAAAGACGACTCAGAGTGTTTCAACAGCAACAGTCACTGAAGAGACATCTGCATGCAGATCTATGGGAGAGACGTCGGTAAATAAGAAAATTGTGGTCGACACATTTGACAAGCGTGATTTTAGTGCATCACTGAGATGTGAAGGAAAAAGAGAAGAGTCGGCCTCAGGAGACAGAATGTGAACGCAGGACGTGATCAGACTTTCAGCAAGAAACAGTCCGTCGACATGCAGGTATAAAACAATATCAATAATTATCGCACTATGATTCTGATCAATAGCAATATAACAAACTCACATTGATCTTGGTAATTAGCGATATCGACTGATCCCAACTGAACACAGAGTCCGTCTCTCCAGTAGAGTCCAGAATCAATGCTGAGATGTGTCTGGCCTGTCATGGTGTCCCAACATGTTACCGAGACGCTTTGTTATCCAGCTCTATAAAGCAATTGACCATTTTTATCTTCCACTTTCAATATTGCTTTGCTAAGTTTATTGTTATTAATTAAATTTGCCAAATGGTGCCATGATTTATTTCCATATGAATATTTCTTCTTCTTCTGTAGGAACGGAGCCGTCCCTGCAGATTGACCAATTAAAACTTTGTCTCATGCTTAAATTGCTTTTAAGCTTTAACTCGTCTTCTCTGCTCTTAAATCATTTTTGTTCTTTCTCGCAGCACAGTGGGGAAACATCATCACCCTAAAACAAGCTTTCCTAGTTTCCTTTAAGTTTGATGGACCGTTTGCGAAAGTTTACTTGTAGCCTGATAATATATATATATATATATATATATATATWTATACACCACCAGAAATGTACATATCTATAGAAATTAATAATAGATAACACTATTGTAACAGAGGCGAGAGCCAGCATATCCATAATTACACATCCAGCATTTATTGGTTGTTTATTTATTCTATAAACTCTGTTTATTCTAACCTTCTCTATAAATCTTCAAATTTATAAATTCACAGTTTCTCTTGCACATTGACAATAAAGGCTTTCTGTTACATTCTATTCTATATGAAAGCTAGACAGAATGTTCTGTGTAAATTTAGATCCAATAAGAAATCTATTCTACATCGAGCTGTATGTGTATTAAAGACGTTTTTTTAATCACAGGTGTGAATTAACCCTCCGTATTATCAACGTCAGCCTCCTCAGAGCATTTGCTGCAGGTCTCAGTGTCAGATCTGCTCTTAGTTATATTAAAACCTAGATTAGCATCTGGTGTATCGTCCAGTGTTCCAGTCAGCACCATCATTAGAGAGCAGCTATATTTAAACAATAAATCAGGCTGGTGACTGGAGCTGTGTAATGACGGGAAGGATGGATGTATCAATAACAGGAACAGCACATACACATTAAGAATAATCATTCAACCTCAACCTGATTATTAATTAACCAGACTTTTATATCAAAGTGCTGCTATACATGAATTTTTATTTTAAATATTTAAATAATAAACGTTAAGCTTTTTCTGTTGTCTCTTGCTGCATCAGAGGAGAATTCTCTTTTCTGACCAAGGACAAAATCCTGTTTCGCTTTAGTGGATCTTTACAACCTTTAAAATGAAAGGAGCCGACAACAACAGTAGAGCCAGACATGGTCGTAGCACACTGAATATAAAATATTAATCCACACCTAGAAGCAAACCAGCGGATATCTGATTAAGACTGATACTGAATGCATGCTAACATTACTAAGACTATGGCTGCCATTGAACCACTGAACCAGATATTTATTTATATATATCATTCATGCCTGGACTGTAATTACAAGTTAAAAACTTCTTCTTCTCTGAATAACTTTTAATCACACTCTCAAAACATGTTTCTTCACTTTTGTCTTCATAGTGGAAGATGCTTCAGAGAACAAATGTGGATCTTTGAAGGTTTTGCTGATAATCCAGCTCCTTCCAAAGTACTTCCTGGTTATTAACCAAACATCGGTGGAGTCAATGATAAATAGCATATCAATAGAGAAAGAATGAGTGATGATGGCCATTAAAGGTTTGTGACAAGGCTTTGTCATTAGGAGATTTCTCCTATTGATTTTAGGGAGGTCACTGACATTAATTATGCCAAAGAAGTTCTGATGATTAAATCATACCGCCAAGCATGATAAAATTTGAATTACAGTGGAAGAGTGTCAGTGAGATTAAATGCAGCGCAGCAACTGGTGGAGACCAGCCAATGTCAGTGTATAGAAATTAATTATATGGATAACCTTTAATGTTCAGAGATATTACCAGAAATAAGTTTTGCACACTTTTAATTATGTTCCCCTTCAGCCTGCACCTGGAAATTATCGTCACGAAGAAGAACTCGGCAGCTTTTTAACTCACACGCGTGTTTGCTGCTGAGCGCGCACGGCCCATATGGTGCGTTATAAACATTTCAGCATGAACACTGGCTTCATAAACCCACGGGCCATAAAACTCTAGATTCCCCTAAAAATGTGGCTGTGATTTAATTAAGACAGGGGGGGAAAAAATAAAAAAAATAAAAGAGAAACCCAAATGCAGTCCGCTTCAGCACAAAGAACATTGCTGCTGACTCCAGCGATTCCAGACAGTTTCACCGCAGTTGCACTACACTGCCGCTCGTTGTTTAAGTGTGAAATTGTTCTGAACACTCGGGGAGGCCGAGTGGGCGTCAGTGGCAGGAACAGGCCACGAGGCTCCTGGAGCTGCTTTAGTTACAACTCGAGGTGTTTCACCTTATTTGCTGTTCTCCTGCCAAGAACACACTCGCACAAATTAGCATACCATTATCACAGCGGATTGTATTATATATCTCCAGCCCATTGTGCCGGTTTAATCGAGTCTGGTGATAAAACTGTGGTATCTGACAGAATTTAGAAGTCTGGCTGTTATTATACTGTGAATAATGAAAAGAAAAAGGCAATAGAGATACTTAAATTTGATCGTTTATCAAGACAGAGTCGTTTCTGGGAGCTTTAGGAGCTACACAACACAATTCAGGGGTAAGGTCATTATGGGTTTCCAAAAAGATTATTTTGTAAATAAAGTATCACGTCATTTTTTTATTTCTCCGATGAATTATTCATAGTAATACACACGTTTACTGTGTATTTGTCTAACTGTGTGTTGGAAAAACATTCAACTTGATTCCTGAGCTGTATATTTGTGAATTACACCTTTATATAAAGATATAGCTTTCTATGGTTGAACGGCTGGGACGGGACAAAACACTACGAACCCGTCCAAGACACTTTCAATATCCAATACGAATAAATGTCCAAATGATGAGGACGTTTTGTCCAGACTGTTGCGGCGTTTCAGGCATTTTCATTGGGAGAGAAAAGGTCCCTTCACTGTGGACTTTGGTCTTTTTAACTTTTTTAACTATACACTCAAAAGACCTGTATAAAACACTAGAGGGATGAATAAAAGCAGAGCATCCTTTAAAATGATCAAATGTCAGATTACTGGGTTTTAATATATACAGTATATTATATAGACGATTTAGACACTGGCATTTTCAGTCTGAACATAACACTTGTTTTTACCTTCAGACGCCTATAAAGGTCAAACTTGAACTTTTGAATTCAGCCAGTGGTTCAATACTCCACTGTGTAACACACACACACACACACACACTATCCTCTTATCTGACTCTGTATGCAGAGCTGTAGCCGACAGCGGGAAGCATCGTCCCTCCTCTGCTATCAAACAGGATGCTCCTGTTCCTCCATTCTTTCCTTCTATCAGAAGGGCAGAGCCTCAGCACCTGTTCTATCTTCCTCCTCAGCCACCCGTACGCAGCGATGGGCAAAGTCTGCGGACTTGTTACAGATAACAGGAACAGGTAAACAGGGTACGGCCAGTGGGCTCGCCAGAGAGCTAGCGCATCTTGGAATAATCCCGTTCACAATATATTTCCAAATGATGTCAGCAACGTCATGATCACTGTTGTTGTTCACAGGGCTGTCATGTTTAAATTGAAATTCAAACAGGGGAGGAAATGCTACAAAACTGTCTTGAATGGACAAACACTTTCACACCTGACGAGCGGCTTGTGGATCTAATTTCATATCATGTCAAATTCATTCAAACGTGATTTTTTGAAAACGTGAACGCCCTATTTGTAGGTCTACTCATCATTTGATTATAGACTGTCAAGCAAAATTGCCACATATTTGCTCCAGCCTCCAACACATGTGATTATTTACAGATTTTCTCAGTTTTATATCTTGATCAAATTTAGGCTTGAGAAACATTTCTTACAGTTTTCTGATATTTTAAATTTTAATTAGACAAATACTTAATCCAATAAATCCAATCAATCACCTGAAAATGAAAATAATCCTTAGTCACAGCATCATATCAGTACATGAATCTAGTATCTATTTGTGTCCAGATGAGATTTGTCCACATCACATTTACTGAACGTACTGCATCTTCAGCAGACGGATATAAAATAGATAATCTCCTCCATGCTTATAATTGCAATATGCATTTTACTGTTTGTCCTCAGTGATTCCACTGTCAGTTTCCTTCGCGTATTAATGACTGTGTTTATATGCACTCGCATAACACAGTTACCGTCTTTCTTAAATGTCACGTAATGAAACGCCTGGTTTGTGTTACAGAGAAAAACTTGATTTCCCTGGGTAGACTTCTCCTGGAGAGTTTGTGTGCAGTGTTCACAGGTAACCAGGTTTCTAATCGGCTTTCGCAGGAGTGCACATGCACAACAGAAGAGTGCAGGATAGAAGCAGAGATCATTACATGGAGCGATGAGTCCTGGTATTTATAACAAATCCTTCTTATGTCCGCTTAAAACTGATGGCACAAAGTAGCTTGGAGAACTCGACACCAGTTGGTTTCCACTGCTGAACGTTTGAGTATTTGTCTGACTCACCCACAGCAAAGGAAAAAAGGAAAGAAGTAGAGTTTTACAGTTAAAATAGAGCGTCTACACCGCTGCGTAAGTGCATGTGTGCCGCTCAGTAGACTCCATTTACACGTAGTCACTTAATTCATCTTTTGTGGTCTCAGGTTGGCTATTCGATCTCAAAAAAACAA